CGTCGCCAATCAAGGTGCTGACAATTTAAACATTTTTTTACAGACCTGTTAATATTGCCACTGCTGGTTTAAGCTTTGTTTTTCATTGATTCATTATTCCTAACTTCTACTTAGCACTACTAATATTTCTTCTAACTGTTTTTGTGTGTAAGTATACGTTGAGAATTAAAATATTTTACATCATGATAAGAAATATCAAGTAAAGCTTTGACAATACGTCTAAATTTGGCAAAGAATCTCTCCAGATGTATGGCACGGATATGCCAAGCACACGATGATGTGTTTCGCTCTTGCTTAATGCTCTCATTATATGATTAGACAAGAGTTTCTTTTCGAGTGATATTAAGATCGTAGAAACGAGAGATAATCTACAATTAACTTTTATAGTATTTTTCGAGACATAGAGGAAATAATATTTGACTGTTAACGTGTTCCTGTGCGGCTTGGCGAATTAGGGGAAAATTGTTTGTATGGGGCATCGGTATTCTTTTGTTTAATCTGGTTCATTGTGGGTGTCTATAAAATTGAATTTTTATATTAGCAAGCATCCTTACGACGCGTTTCGGTCTTGCTTAAGGGCCACTCATCAGTTTTGTCATAACTATGATTTGCTTACAGTGATTGCTTATATATTGCTATTACGTGTTTGCGATTATTGTTTGTAGATATTGTGTTGATTAGTCTATATCTAGAATATATGAAAGTATGAATTACGTCCGGTTTCAAAGTGAACATATATCAAATGAAAGAAAGAAAAAGGAAAAATAACGAAACATGAACTAGAAGATGGTACCGATTCATATGTTCAGTGGTCAAATATCTGAGCTTAAATAATGAAAAATGTAATAAATGGTCTTATTCGACATGTTGCACGTATTTAAGAGAAAAATAAACAGGAAGAAAAAACAATGTTTATCTAGTAACAAGATCTAATGATAATAACAGAATATCCTCTATTGAGAACAAAACTGAGAAAGAAGCGAACAAACAAGAAGGAAACACTTTTCACAATTGGGATGCCTGAAAGAAACAAATGTTAATGATTAAACCGTTCTTTCATTGTTGTACGAGCTGCTTCTGTAGTTAGTTGCATCCTGGTCAACATATCTTGTGGAGGCTATCTGCATATCAAAAGACTTTGTAAAGTACGATTTAATATTGTACCAAGAATTGGTCGTGTATTTTTGAAATGTGATCCTGGATAAACAGAACTTTTGCCATATTTGATGATATTCTTTTTTGAAATTTAATAATGGTCCATGTTCGAACGTGTAATGAAGATAAATTTGATCTTGATGTTCATAGTTTTTCGTTTTTCGAATTAATTGACCAAGACTCGAGATTTGTGTTTTGTTTTCTCTTTTTGTTGGTCTGTAAAGTAACATATTATGTAGTTGTTGATGGACTTCACTGTTTAATTCAGTCCATACACTCATAGAATCATATTTAACAAAGAATTTTTTTTATATGATGTTGTATAAATTTTGGTGGATAACCTTTAATTATATAGTAATATCATTTCCATACTTAATCGTTCCATGTCAAAATCTTCCATATTGGAACAGCTACGTGCAGCTTGCACTAGTGCAGTATAAATTATATTCGCATGAATGTGTCTTGGATGATCAGATTCATAAGGTAGAATATAGGGTTCTGAATTTGATTCATGATAATAGACATTTTTAAATGCCCATTATTATTTTCAATAGTAACATCAAGATATTCTAATGATTGACTAATAGTAGTAGTAATTGTAGCATTTGAATCTGTTTTAATGGTTTCATCAAGTTCTTTCAGAATATCTTCTTTGGATAAATTAGTTGTCATAAATACGTCGTCAATATATCTATAAATACTTATGATTATTAGAGTAAAAAAAAAGTAACTAATAAATGCAAAATTAACCGTCCATAAATTTCATGATGTCTATTTTGATATTGAATTAATTTTTGCGCCCATTCTAACATATAAATATTTGCTAAAACCATAGTAAATGGTGAACCCATGGCACCACCTTTAATTAGTTAGATGCCTTATTTGAATTTCCGGATATACCTATAGTTTCCTGTTTATCAAGATATAGGAGGTATAGGAATTGAGTTTTTCGAGCAACGATTGGCAAGTGACACCAATATATTTTATGAATAGATGTATAAATTCAAATACTATCGAATGATCATCTGCACCAATTAATCAATATCTTCAGTATCTCCTATACCTCCTGTATATCTATCAACAAAAAATGATACAAGCTACCGGAAATTCAAATAAGGCATCATACCCTTTAATTTGTCGATAATACTTATCTTTATAAGCAACTGAATTGGTATCTAAAACAACACATGCTAATTGAATAATAGTTTATATTTTGAGATTTCCAATTTTTCCATTTATTGAATAGTTTTTACAGAGTCGCATTAAAGCAGCAATAGTGCCATCATGTAGTATCATTGTGTATAAATCAGCAACATGAAAAGTTATAGATAATGTTGTTCAGGTGAGATCTATACTATTGATGAATGTAATATCTTGTGTCACATGATTATAAATTGGAGTAAGAAGTTGATCAAGAAAACTGAATATTTATCTGGCTGGTGCATTAATTGAAGCAAGAATAGGTCAAACTGATAGTTCAGGCCATAAGAAACGTATGATTGAAAAAATATTTAGATAACAAACTAACGGTTTTACCTTATGTACTTTAAGATTGAAATAAATATGAGCAAATTCTAATGTATTTAGATTTGGATATATTGTTTATATTGATCTTTCGTTATTTTTTACGCTTTAATAGATCATCAAGTAAAGTTAACAGAGAATGTAAATCATCTGCTAATGGATAAACGCCACTGGTGATTTCTTGATATGCGTTTGTTTTTTGTCATATAACTTTTAATTTTTTCTTCATATTTATGTGGATCAATAAAGAAAAATAATTTGCTTTTATCAGTTTGTCAAACAGCAATATTAGCTTTGCATAATTGTCGTTACATTGCTTTTATCATCTTGTACATATATCGAACATGTCTTTCAAGTTTTTTTGGTATTGGTTTCGTATATAGCTGTTGAAGTAAATTTTTTATTACAGCAAAATATTCAATAGCACGTGTATCACGCGCTGAAAACATGTAATCGGTAAGATTTTTAACATTTTCATTAAAGAGGCGATTGTATGCTCGTTCAATAATTTTTTCCATACGTTGTCGATAAAAGAAATGCCTCTATTTCAAATTTATAAAATGTATTACAATCCGTCTCAGGTTTGATCTGATTCGCTATCAATATTGCCTAGCGGTCGTCTTTACCTAACTACAGGCCAACGAAGAGTTTAAATTTTAATGTTTATAAAATGATAGAAATGAGATTAGAACAAGTAAATTAGCGAGTAGAAAGCAAGTGTACATACACCATTGAGCCACATGTGATCACATTAGTTGTAGAACGAAACAGAATCTATATATGCATCGTCTATTATAAACTTATTCACAGATACATGTATCAATGAGGTGCTGTGTATAAAAATATACTTATTTCTCCAAAAAAAAAAGAGTTTGCATTAAATAAATCCAACTAAATAATTTTAAAAATATCTAATTGTGGAAACTTCGTTTTGGAAAAAAAATCGGTTATATTATTTCTAAAATTTCATTATTTTCAATTTTAGAGTACCAATGTTTTAAGGATTAAAATATATATACATTCTGTCTTTCTTGAGAAAAAGAACTCTAAACTTTTTGAGAACTCTATATACTTCAAACTAAATTAATTTTATAAAAAAACTGTGATATATATTTTCTAGTGAATAGAAAACGAATCTTTTATATATTTTTTCCTATAAACGAGTTGCACAATCGCGTTTCGTTTGTATATTGATCGAAGTAATGGAATGCGTCTAGGCGCGGTTGCAAGTAAAACCACGTTTAGACGCAAGAAATGTTTCACTAGAGACGCGATTCCAAACCAAAACACGTTAAGATGCGCTTGAAGTCTTAGTCCAGTCGTGTTTAGATGCGGTCTGTGCAAAATCGCGTGCAGACGCGGGTTTTATTATCTTTTTACTGCGTCCAGCCGCGTTTCACAAGAAAAACGCGTTTAAACGCACAATTTCTGCGTTTAGTGTTTACATGGGAATAAGCAATTGTTCATTCGATAATGTTATAATAGTATTGGCAAAACATAAACAAAGAAACATAACCGTATGGTTTTGAATATTTAATTTTCATTTGCTCCGACGCCATCGTTGTTCGTTGTATCGTCCTGTGATGCCGGAGCTTCGTTCGAAAAAAGATTTCAATTTTTGTTGTGTAATATAATCAGCTGGTTCAATCATGTTTTCACGTGCTTCAATAGCTACCGTTAGTTGTTTGAATATATCTCAATCTGAATTGTTTATCTTTAATTTATCGGTAATAGTTACCAATTTCTTTTTTCCATTTTTCGCTATTTTATTTCAATAGCGTACTTTTTCTTCACCAGCTGCTATACTTAATTCAAGCATATCATATTTATATCGGCCAATCTTTTTTAAACGACAAGCAGATAATATTGTTTGTTGCTTGTTATCATCATCATTAGTAGAAGATTGTTTCGATCGGTTAAGTATTTTATCAATTTTATTAAGTGAATAATGAAGAAGATTGAATGCTGGTGGTAAACAATTCGAATGGATGCGATATTTTAATATCTCAATTTGTTCTTCCATTTGTTTTGTGGAACTCACGTATATTTTCGAAGAAAATAGTGGATGTAAGTTTTAAGGTCAAGGTTTTCCGCCTCCCCCTCCCCATTACAAACCTATAGCAACGGAAAAGAACACTACAGACATCCCCCCCTATTACAGACCTGGCAACCGCGCACAAAAGGCTTCAGATTCTATACAATATTTCAATACTTTCAGAATTATTTGAAAACAGCTATGTTTTAGTTTACAAATAATGCATTAGCATAATAGGTTTGAAGGATATACGAAAGTTCCACATTTCAGCTCCAAAGGAGCTGCGCTAACAAGCTTTTTTATTATAAATTGCTTTCCATATATTACGAATAGAACGAATTTGTTGTTTATTAGGTTTCAAATCATAAACATATTGTACTAAACGATGATCTGTTGAGTCTAATTTTAAAATTTTTTTATTATATTCAAATTGTTGCTTTAATTTATGTTCACCTTGTCCGACAACAACTATAACGATTGCTGACATTGTTGTAAAATCTAATGAAGGCTTCATTTCAGATAAACATTGAGGTAATGGTGGATTGCCAAACTCTTGTAATGCTTCTTGAAGTTGTCGTTGAAGAGTTGTTAGACTTTGTACGATTAATGTTTTTGAGCGACCATAAGTATGATGCATACTATTCATAGCAGCCCATTTTTTTGATACGAGACCGAACCAAATATTTTCTTGCATACCAATATCATAATAATACTTCCATTGACTTTCTCGTAATTGTACATAGAATAGACGATGTATTAAATAAGCATATTGATGAATATAGTTAATTTTTTCACTTGTATTTAATCGTTTAACAATTTTA